CCAATGCTATCAAATAAACAGAAAGTCATAGTTATGCCCAAAAGTCCTCAGTTCAAGTTCCTCCTGTGCCACAGACTCCACTGTGAGAGTTTGGAACGGCAGCTGTCTCTTGACTGCAGTTCCTTACCTGTGAAACAAAATCTACCAGTAGTTAAGCACAGAAACTGTATAGCATGTTGGAAAGTGAAAGTACTTTACAATTTAGTTATCATAGCAGAAGTTACACTCTTGTCTAGCTGGAATGGAATCCAGAACAAAAGGTCAGTTTATTCATGCATGTACGGTGCATGCGGTGGCTCAAGTGGTTAAGACGCTGAACTGCAGGCTGTGGATGGTCGGTAGTTCAGCAGTTAGAGACCTGGGTGCCGCAAGACGGAGTGAGCTCCCATCTCTAGTTCCAGCTCCTGCCAACCTAGCAGTTCGAAAGCAAGAAATTGCAAGTAGATAGATAGGTACCACTTCGGTGCGAAGGTAACAGCGTTCCGTGCGCCTTGGTGTTTAGTCATGCCGGCCACATGACCACGGAAACGTCTTCGGACAGCGCTGGCTCTTCGGCTTGGAAACGGAGATGAGCACCGCAACCCTAGAGTCGGATTCGACTGGCTTTCGAGCAAGGGAACCTTTACCTTTACTTTTTACATTTCTTAGTTCAGTGATAGTTAGCTGAACTTGTGAATTGCCTCCACTGAAATGCATTGGGTGATGAAATGATGCCAGGTGAGAAAGTTCTGGCCTGTCATGATGGCTGTTTCACACAGGAGAAGACCTGACTTGATCTCATTGCTGATGTGCAGTATACCAACATGTGTGAATTTCCCTGCCAGCCCATGCAGGACCGTTTCTGTGTATCACAGAATCTTGCTGTGTGGGGGAAAACTGTTCATTGTTGAGAGCTATCACCAGAAAAATACCTTTGGAAATGAATTGTGCAAAGAAATTTGCATATTATGATACATGCAATTAACACAATTTGCATACACATTGAAACAGCTAAGACACAGCTGGTGTACTTCTTGCGCTCAGTGTTTCATTTTTATCATGCAATATTCTCACTCAAGCTCCTTGTTGATCCTTAATAGGAAATCTCTTGAATAGGTTCCCTAAAAACAGTGACTGGATGTTGAAAACATTGGTGGGGAGGAGGGGGAAATGATGTGGTGTTTAGCACATGTGGCCACTACACTTATCATTGTCATTATGAGCTGAGTGAAAGCTGAGATTTTTCTTGGTTATGCCAAGAATTTATTTGATGGATGTTGCTTAATCCTTGCCAAACTGATAATCACTATTATGAAATTAGTTTGTTACATGTATATCCCACTTTTCAGACAGATTGGCACCCAAAGCTTCTTACACGAATTGAAACTGATAATAATAGACAGTTCAAACAATGGTTGCTGTTGACTGGCTCTTCCCTCTCAGATAATTTTCATTTCTGAATTTTAAACCAGGTCAAATAGCCTGATAACTGTGAGTGAGATGGTGGGTTGACTTTTCCCACAGTGTCTGGGGCAGATCCCTTGATTAATTCCTGTGGATATGTCTTGCTAAACATAGTGTACTCTTGGCAAACATAAAACACTGTAATTTAGGAAAGGATGTTGCTTTTGTTCTACATGCAAGCCTAGGTCCATGTTTTCATGTGGTCTTTCACTTCATGCCTTTACCCTGTGTTGTTGTTCTGTAGTCTGAAATGCTGGACAAAGCTGATCAACAGAGACAGAATCCTCTGAAGAGCCTTGTATACCAGATTCATTCCCCTGCGGTCAGGATGCTATTGAATCCGTTTCCCATGTTCTTTTAAATTGTCCATTTTATACTAAGATTCGAGGAAAATTTCTGGACACCCTTCTTTTTACATGGCGTGGTCCTCCTGAGAGTATCAAGGTCCAGTTGCTGCTCTCTGGGCAAAACGCTTCTATAACTTTTAATGTTGCTTGTTTTCATCAATCTGTAATTCGAACCAGGGAAACTATCAATTGATCAGTTTTCTGTTGGCTGTTCAACAGCCATACTTTTGATGTATTCCTAAATTTTAATGTTATCTTATCTCTTACATGCCAATAAAGGTTGTCTGTCTACCAGATTTATTATAAAGTTTATGTATATGTTTTACACTGTGTTTCCAAGTGAAAGTGTAGTAGGCCTTAGGTAAAAGTAAAGGTTTCCCTTGCTTGAAAGCCAGTCGAATCCAACTCTAAGGGGAGGTGCTCATCTCCGTTTCCAAGCCGAAGAACCAGCGCTGTCCGAAGACATTTCCATGGTCATATGGCTGGCATGACTAAACACCAAAGCACACAGAACACTGTTACCTTCCCACCAAAGTGGTACCTATTTATCTACTTGCAGTTTCTTGCTTTCGAACTGCTAGGTTGGCAGGAGGTGGGGCCAGAGATGGGAGCTCACTCCGTCATGCAGCACTCGGGTCTCGAACTGCTGAGCTATTGACCTTCCGGTCTGCAGCTAGGCGTCTTAACCACTGAGCCACCCTGGCCCCTGTAGCAAGCCTTATTCCTTCTTATTTTTCCTTCTGATATATTGCATTAGAAGGTTAAAAAGGATTGGGCATCCATCTAGTCACAGTGACTCCCAGAAGATGGCAGTTGCAGATTGACAGATAGATTTACATAACTGCAGTTATGGGGCCCTGAGTCATGGGTGAATGGGCTGCTGGGGGCATGAGTATCCCACAACATGGCAAGGAGAGGGTGGAAGAAGTGTCTTTAGCAAAATGTGAACTTCCATAATGGCCCCGAGGGAGGGCGAGCTTCCTTAGTAGTTTGCTTGTTAAATGCTTTGTTGATGGCAACACATGTACCAATTTGGAAAAGATAAACTGAAGTCCATTGACACCTTAAAAGACCAACACTTTTTCCCAGTATGAGCTTTTTTTGTGTCGTATGCATGGAAATGTATTTATGCTACATGCATCTTATCAAAAGTTTATGCTGCAATACCTTTTGTTAGTCTTTAAGGTGCCACTGGACTTCTGTTCAATTTTGCTGGAACAGACTAACACAGCTACCCTTCTAGAATTATTAGTTTGGGAAAGTGAATGTCGGATCTTGTGGCACAGTAAATGGCGACAACCCCTCAGTCCCCTGGCCTTCAAGAGCAAGGCACTAGATAGCGAGGGCACCTGTTACTTTGCATCCCCTTCTTTCATCTGAATTCATGTGATGGAGGAAACCATCAGGATTGTAGCAAAGAAGCACAGTTGACATCAGAGGTTTAACACAGGTGGATAATGCGGTTGAGTGTCCGACGTTGGTGTGCTCAAGCTGCTGCAATTACCTGAGGGAACTGGATGGTGCCCTTCTGGAGAAGGGCTGTGTCAGCACAAGAGGCAGCCCTGCTTCTAACCCTGTTTCTCCTCCCTGCAGACGAGCTCACCTCCGCCTGTGTCTAGAACGTTTAAAAGTTCTGATACCACTAGGACCTGACTGCACCAGGCACACAACCCTCGGGCTGCTCAACAAAGCCAAAGCACATATCAAGGTAAGCGTTGCATTGGTTGCTGTTTTGCCAGCACCATCCAATATGCTCGGTTTTGTAATCAGATCACAATCCAGCAGGCATACCTGACCTAAGGAAGGGTAATTCTGTTCCCAGGGTTTAGTCCCATGACATTGACTTAAGTGACAGCTGTAGCTTCCATGATACTCCATGTGAATGGTATGTTTTATACTCTTTCCCCCCTCTAACCTATCTGGTATATAGCACTAGCAGTGAGATACCTTCGTTCTCCTTTTGAGCAGTACATAACACGTAGCAGCAATCCTAAGCATGCTCCACTTGGAACTGTCATCTTAAAATCAAAGGAGTCTTTTGAATAAATATGGTTGGGTTAGAGGGCTCAATGTGGTTGTGAAGGACTCTGGTTCCAATGCTTGCTCGGCATAAAGTCCCTGGTTGAGTTTCAGCAAGACACTCTGCGTTTCGTCCTGACCAGACTCACATGGTGGTGGAAAGAAATAAAATGAGCGTGTGTTTTTTTATTAATGTACAAATAGCATTAAAACAACCTTTGTCCAAGTTTGACTTTATATTCTTTGAAAATGAAGGTTTTAAAAAAAAAATCCTGAACTTGGCAGGGATCAATAAGTCCATCAAGTCAAACCCCCAGAAGCAAAGTGGGACCAGTCAAATGACAACCAAAAACGATCCAATCCACATACTGTGCCATGACAGACAATGCATCCCAGGCTAATTAAACACCGTGCTTGGACTCCCCTCGATGTTGTTCTTTTCACCTCCAACCCAAATCCAGGCACACATTTGCCATAAGCCCAGAGGGCCAGCAGCTCCAAATAACCAGAGTGAGTGAGTGAGTGAGTGAGTCAGGTCGCTTGCTACAGGGAAAGGCTGCCAAGCTGCATCTGTGGTACAAATGTGTTTTAAATCTATGCAGATTCTAAAGGCTTTGTAGATTGTACTGAAGCCACAGTGAAGCAGACACACAATAGCCAATAAGAAAACAAAGAGCCATACTATTTTAACACAGCACAGTAGGTGTCCCTGTCTGCAGCTTCCCGACTCCTCTCCTGATGGTTCGCTTTCACAAAGGGTAGTGCCAGGCTCACAGGGATCAGGCTGTGCTTAAACACAGTGGAACAGCTCGGGCTTAGCAAGGGAGGGGGAACCTTGCTCGCTTAAACGGATGGCATTAGCCTGAGATGACTCTTCAGAGTTATGCAACGTGCCAGCCATCAGGAAACCCCGTGCATTGGCCTGGTAAGATTTCCTAGCCGCAATCAAAGGAGTCTGCAGTAGATTACATAAACTGTTGTTCAAATGGACAATTGCTTGGGGGGGGGGGCAACGAAATAAATCTTCGAAGGATATGCCAACCACCAAATTTAAACTGGGGGGGGAAACCATTAAAAGCAAATCAAGGCATGGCTGTTCCCAAGTTAGGGAATCTAGATCCGTTTGTGGAGGGGACCTGGTGATACCTACCACGTGAATTAATCATATTTAGACTCTCCTTGATTTTGTTCTCTTCATTCCAACCCAAATCTAGACTGAGATGTACATCAGTGCTTGGTGCCACTGGCAAACTAGTCTGGTGCCATCAGAGAACTACAGGTAGTTTCAAACGTTAGTAGGTGTGATGAAAAGAGGCAGAAAATGGCTGGGCAAGGGATGCAAATTAATAAGTCCTGGGTTGTCTTTTTGTCATGGCAGAAACTTGAAGAGGCTGACAGGAGAAGCCAGCATCAGCTTGAAAATTTGGAAAGAGAGCAAAGGTTCTTAAAGCGAAGACTGGAGCAGCTGCAGGGCTCTCAGGAGATAGAACGAATACGAATGGACAGCACTGGATCTTCCATTTCCTCAGATCGCTCTGATTCAGAGCGGGGTGAGTATTTTACCTGTTGCTTTGACTTTGTGGCCATTGCAGCACACAGACAAGGATGCAAAAGGTGGGGAGATTTTGCTTCTCTTGGCTGCTTCATCCACTAATAGCTTTAAGTAGATTCAACAGGCAAGAGGACTTGGCTCCCCCACCATCTGCGTATTGTCAATTCTGTGCCTGTTTTCCTTAAACAACTTCCAGATGGTTCCAGATACCAGTTTTAACCCATGGGGCTATATGAAAGCCAGCATGGTACAGTGGTTAGTATTAGACAAAGTATCAGGATATCTGGGTTCAGATCCCCATGAAGCTGCTGAGCCTTGGGCTGAGCATGCACTCTGTCTCAGGCTTGTTATGAGGGTAACTGTAACGATTCCTTGTTTATGGGTGTGTGTCTTTTTAAAAGTTTGGTTGCATGTGATAGTCTAGAGTGCTTGAAGAGGCAAGTGTGGTGTGATTGGTGAGTGACAGAGAGGGGGAGGGGTTTTGGAAGTGATGCTGTGTGGATGAATATGTATGTCTATCAGGAGTGACAGTTTGAGGTTTTTGACAGCTGAAGGGTGACAGTTGATGAGGACAGTTAAGCAGTTAGTTCGTTCTGAAGTCTGAGAGAGAAGCAGTTTGTGTGTGTGCAGTTAAGAACAGCTGAGGTTGTTCTGAGAGAATAGTAAAATGTAAATGAAAGTAATTGAAGACAAAGTTTAGGAAAGGCTGTATGTCCTGGAGAGAAACAGTCAACTTACATGACCTTGAGTTAAAGTTACAAAGTTACATGCCAAGATCCCTGACAGTGGAGAGAAAAGTGTGTGAAATACCCAAAGCAATTGTTTAGTATTTACCCATTCCTAGTTACAGTGTTCTACCATATTATTTACAAATTATATCAATAAATACACTTTTATTTAAGATACCAGTTCTGAAAGAAATACTTCCCAGGACCACATTAGTACCTCGAAAGCTCTTAACCCAACCTACCTACCCAGTGATAGAAATATTATAGTATAAAGGTTTGGAAAGCCTTAAATTTCCTGGTGGCAGCCGGATATACACAGTAGAACCAAACATAAAGAACACTTTTAAAGTAAAACCAGACCTCCCCAGTTAAGGGGTCGTCAGAGTAACATAGAGGAAGAGAGACCTGTGTATGCCACCCTGAACTCCTTGGAAGAAAGGCAGGGAATACATAATGGATGTTGCTCTTCAATACAACTAAACCTTGTTTCTGTGTAGTGTGATAGTGCCTTTTCTTCTACAGATCTGTTCAGTACTGAGAACTGGTGACATAGTACACAATCAAGCCTAAGATAGGGAATTTTGAGTTTCAGAGGCGCATGGGAAGTTTTTCCTATTGCCATCAATAACACTTAATGTTGCTTCACTTTGGCTGAATTTTGCACATGTAAATTTGTACAAGTTTTGCCTCCCATGTTGGATCCATACAGACAACCATTTACCAAGTGGAAATTTAAACAGCAGCATGCATGGAATTACTTGGTAAGCAAACATCTAGCCAAAGGTGTAGAAAATGTCACCACTTTTCTGCACCTGATCAAAAATCCACAGAAGGAGAGGACTGGTAACATTCTCTTTGCTACCTAGCCAGACAACCAATGTACCTTTTGTACAGTGGTGAGTTCGATCTTGGTAAAGTGTTTCTCCTTCCATTTTTGATCCTCCAATGATTGTAAAGGAAGTAAATGAATAGCCTTCCTGAGTTATCACATGCTAATTTACAACTTTTATTGCCTAATGTCTATGATATTAAAGCTTGGCAAATAACAGAAACTAAACTGAAACCTTTTTCAGTTTAATACTAATTATGAACAGGTGATCTTTGGACCTCTTTGGGCACTACAGTGCCCTCCCTGCAGGTCACTGTGTATGTGTTGACAGAACAAGTATTTTTTTAGGTTTCATAAGAAGTGGGAAGGTACAATAGTCTGTTAGAATGTTTTCATTTTAAACACTCAAAAGTCAACCTGATATACCTTGTCTACCCTACAAAATCCTTGTTACTTCTGACATAATCAATATATTGATATAAATTCAACATGGATTTACAAACAAAAATTCTCAAAAATGAAGATAGTTGATTTTTTAAATAAGAAGTTGCAGCTTCAACTCATTGTTAACTATACAAAAGGAGGACCAATTGTTTTGGGTGTCTGTGTTCTTCCACAATGACTCCAGATTCAAGGGTATTTCTAGTTGATTATGCTTTCCTCTGGAAATCCCCCTTTGCAGTATCATCCTTAGACAGTAATGTATTTGATATATAAAAGCTTGCCTATCTTTTAATGGTACAGTGGTAGAAATGATATCCCATGCATGGACCAAGAGCAGCATTTCAGAGGACGGAAGATTGGGCCTGAATTAGAATATTGGTTTTAATTTTTTTTAAAGTTATACAGTTGTAAAAAGAATCTTGTAATTTAGGCACACCTTTGGAAATGCTGTCAGAACCAATTCAAAGTTTCTTCACCTTTAATTACCATGTTCTACTTAAAAATAATGTACTGGATCATTCAAATATGCGGTCTTCCCACCTGCTTGCTAAAGCTAGTATACTCATAGACTGTGCCATGTACAGTCTTTGACTCAGCGTTCTTAATTCCAAAGGTACATCTCACAATCTATCCCAATGCCTTCTTCTATCCATTCATCCAGTGATAAGAACATGAGTTATGCAAGGGTATCAAGTTGACCTCCATTATTCATTCAGAGTGTAGAATTATGTGATGTCTGCATGTAAATGTATAGGGTGAGATCTAAAGGTCGCCCCTCCATGAAAAGCAATTTTGTCAGTGGAACAAGACTTCCTTGCCTCCTCTCCCCATTACAGCCCACTGAACTCCCCAAAAATGCTGCTTTTGGGAGACATGGAATCTACAGGAACAGAATAGAGGGCTGCAGTGAGAAGGGGAATTGATGAAAACTGCTTCCCCTTCCACAGGCATAAACTGACCTTTGGATTCAACTATGTTATAATTAATATTTCTTCCCTGGTTTGTGACAAAGGTCTTCAATATGGATTGAGAAGGGGGAGTGTATCTCTTTGTTGTATAGCATGATTTCAAACTATATTAGTAACTATTAGTTTAATCCAAGATCATGCCAGTATATACCAGCATTCTGTCTTCAGCTTATTCTAACCAAGAGCCTTCTAAATGAAATGATTGCAATTAAATCGTTCTGCAGTAATAAACACTTGCTCTTGCCCTGGAGAACTTGCCAATAATTAAATACAAATCTGAAGTCTGCTAAATTGGGAACCCAGGTTATCTGGTATACCACAAATGTGTCATGATTCCTTCAAAGCACTGCTATAACAAGGTTGTTTTTTTCTCCTTCCTTGTTTTGGTGTGTTCATATCAGGCCTTCTGGAGAAAATTTAATGACTTGACCGAAACATTATCAGTCCCTTCCCTTTTCAGTGCCCTTAAAGGAACCTGTAGCCTTGCACTGCCACTAACCTAAGTGCATCTCCTTCTTTTGCAGAAGAAATCGAGGTGGATGTGGAAAGCACAGAGTTCTCCCATGGAGACGTGGATGATATCAGCACAACCAGTACGAGTGACATTGATGACCACAGCAGTTTGCAGAGTGTTGGGAGCGATGAGGGTTACTCCAGCGCTAGTGTCAAGCTCTCCTTCACTTCCTAAAGCGTGGTGCTAGGGCAGAGCAGATGATTTTTTGGGGGCAATTGAAGTTCTTGCAGCAGGGCTTAGATACAGTGTTTTTCTTCTCCAAACCACACATCAACAGCTATGCTTGGAAAGATGCAACTCTAGAACAGCTCCATGGGCCAACAGGAGGGTGGGAGTCCAACAAGGGAACCAACCACTCTCCAAACTGTCATAGCCCCAAATCCCAATTTAGCGCTGAATCCATAGCTATTTTGAAGTCTGAGACAGCACTCCAGTAATCTTCAGCTGGACTGAGCTGGCTTCAGCTGGACTGCCCTTATATAGTGGAAGGTTTTGCTCAGAGATTGATTGGAAAAGAGGGTCTCGGTGATTCAGGTTTTGAGTCTTTCGCAATTTGTCACATCTCCAAAAAAATGACAATTTTTTCACCTCTTCCCCATGTCCAGACTTAACAAACTTGTTAAGACCCTTTGTGGTGCTAATAAAACAAAAGTCTGTCCAATATACATGGTAATAATTTAGCATACATGGGAGATCTATGTATGTGTCCCAAGTTTATGGGACGAAGTAGCTAAGCTGAGTTTATTGGATCAGCCTCTCTTGATGAGTTTGCACAATGTTCTGAAATACAAAGCTCCTTTTTCAGGCTTCTGAATGAACAAGAGAACGATGAAGTTGGACAGTTTGTGTACTCTCACCAGCAGAAGCTAGTCCAATCCCTGCTTTTTACCCACTGGGTTTCTCTAGCCAGCTTTGATCCTTGATACCTAACACTAATAATAGTGAGAAGCTCTGCTCATGCCCTGTGAAAGAGAGGTGCTGCAAATCTTGGAAGCAAATCCCATCGTTCAACTTTCCACTGGACATTGTTTCAAGGCAAGAGCTTGTGCCACAGGGTTTAGCGGTAGGGTATCAAGCTGTAATTTACCAGCACAAAGTGCAACTGCTCTCTGGATTCAGTGGCTGCAGAAGTAACTCCCGACCTAGAGTGTGATGCTCCCAACAGAGAGTGAAAGGCAGACAGATGAGACCGTACAAGGAATGACGTTCAGGAAAGGCACAGCCTCCGTTCTGAGCCACAATGACCTTTTTTTTTTCCGTTTTGCAGATTATTTTGATAAATGTTTGTAAAAGTGTTCAGGTGACAGAACCTACATGCAACAATGTCTTTTTAGAACTCATAGGCATGATTCTGCAAATGTCTTTTATAATTGACACCAATTGAAAGGGACCTGTTTTTCCTGCTGCCAGGCACAAAAGGAACAGGAACTCTCCTTGGGTTTTATGGCTCTTCCTTTAGTTTCCTTTTTGGAGTACCTTTGCAAACTTTGCCACCTGGATCCTTATCCTAGTCACAGATCCATAGTTAACATAGCACGTCTCTCATTGGCAACAGTCTGCCAGCATGGTTTTCCAGGGAAGGCCTACAGTTCGCACTTGTGCAGAAACTGTTGCTATTAACAAAATAATATTGTATCCAATGTTTTATCATTTTTCTTTTGAGATGAGCTTTCTAACCTGCACTTTGAGGTCTTCTTTGCTTTCCTTTAAGCTTTTTATCCACAAGGATTCTTATCGTTCCTTTATCAAGTTTTAAACTTTGTTCCTTTTTTTTTAAAAAAGAGACCTCATTTATGACACTTGTTTGACTTTGTTCACCTTTTAAGTAATTTGCCTACCCTTAATTACTAAAGAAAAAAAAGAAAGAAAAAAAAGAAAAAAATGCTTTATAAAACTCATAACTTATTGCTGATTATAATTAATGGGTTATTAATTTCAGTCCTGTAGATTTAATTTTATTATTTTTAGATAGGACTGGGCAACAACAAAAAAAGACAAAATTAAAAAAACACACACAAGGTAACCTCATTTAGCAGTGCAGTGGAATTGTGTTTAAATGTTAGCAATGGTTCTGCTTAATAGTAGCACTTTAACACCATTAAACATTTCTGTATCTGAAATGCACTGTGTTCTGCCATCTTGGTCACTCATGAAACTTTAGAACGCTGCCCATGTTTGTTGTGCCTGGAAGTTCTTTTTTTATAAACCTGTTGGCCATGTGATTAGATGACCCCAAATGACTTATCATGTAGATTTTGTCTTAATACAGATATGCTGTGTGTGTATTTAAACCCATGTTATTCATTCACTCCAGAGCTATTATTGTGTCATATAATATACAAGACACAAATTTTAGAACCTGTGTCATGAAATAGAAACATAATGCCACAGGGTTATAGTGTGTTTATAGCAGGGGGTTTAATTTTTTTTTTCCTGTTTATTAAAGCGTGGATCCAGTTGTTTATCCTTATCAATTGATCTCCCCTATGTGACTATATAATACTCTGGTTTACTGCATGTGGTAATCTCTCCCTCTAGTGGCTGGAATAAGAACCCATTAGTTGTAGCTAAAAAGGGAGAAAAGCTTTCCGCTGAACCAGTAGGAGTTGACTTTTATAGAACTATTAATTAGGCCCATTAATCTGCATGTTTGAAGCTACGGGTTCTTAGCACTATTCTAGGGGATTGTCAGAATAACTGATGGGAAGTCAAAGGAGCAAATTTGCAACTCTGTGCTGCATTACCAGCGCAAAGCTCGTGATTTCACAAGTCACAGAATCAGCCATGGAAACTCTTTAGGCCTATTACTGTTGTATGGATGGGAATTACAGTAGCTTGGTTGTAATTTGGCAAATAATTTGTGTTCAGAGCTTAACACTTAATTTTTTTTTGGAGTGGGAAGGCCTCAAGTAGAAGAGCTGGGGAAAATATCTTTCTCTTTAGGAAACTGCTGCCACCCCATGGCAGACAGTACTGGCACTGACAGAATATTGGTCCCTCAGCTCCTTATGGTGCATGTAGATCATGTCTGGTTAATATTTCTGGAACAAAGAAATGAGGCACAGCTACCTATACCACTTTTCACAAACACTGATTGATGCTTCCATAAAATTACCATAGCCCTTGGTATAATTGGCTTGGTAAGATACAAACTGATGTTTTAAGATACAAGAGTCAGTATGTATTTGTGTGTCAGCATCATTTGCAGTCTGTCTTAGATTGAAAGAAGAAAAGGGTTGCTCACATCTATGCAACTTACTTTGAATAATGTAACTCACTTCACCTATTGTTGGCCATTTCTAGTGAGACAAGCAAGTGTACCAGCCTTCTGTTTAGCATCTAAATTGGCATTGTTGTTGATGAAACAATGTACTGACTTTGTTAAATTGTGTTCTATGTCGTGGGACTTCCTCACAATACTTCAGCAATTTTTTTAAAATAGAGAGATGGATGCACTGCACTCATTTCTTCTATGGGCAATCTTGTTATAGTTTAGACTGCTAAATGCTGTCATAGTACTTAAAAAGAACTAATATTCTTATTAGGACAGACAGGATATCACAAAATAGCTTCTGAGTTCCCTAGAACTGTTCATTAGGTTGGTGATGGATGCAAGACAGATTTCACAGTGCATTGCAGACTTTAGATTCTGCCAATATATCTTAGAAATGGTTCTCTCTCCTTGCCTTCGTTTGTTCTTGACAGTACTTGGGAACTCAATAGCTTGCACTATTTTGGGGTATTTTGATAGATCCTAATAATAAGGTATTACACTATTTGTTATCTTTGGATTTTTTCCCCCCATGGGCCAGTGCAGCTACCTACTGTTTTGTTAAACTGGCAGGACTCTGAAGAAAGACAGGAATAGAACAAACCTGCTTTGTTTACATTGAAATTTCCTTGCCTTCTTGCTCTCTCTCCCACCTGAAATGGCACTCCTGGTGGACTGGAGAGCTTAGGAACAGTATGAAGGGCAAGTTGAAAGAGCAAAAACAGCATTAATGAAAATTTACTGTGGGCTCCAGGCCTGTTTTTCTCCCCTTTACTAAGCAAGGAATCTTTTGTTGGAGGAAGGAACATGGTACACAACAGTCTCATTGGTACTTTACCATTACATGAGGTTTTTGCCTCTTTGGAAAGAATTCTTAGTCTTTGTGCATTAGTGTTTCATTGTGGCCTATATTGAGGTTATTTTTAAAGCTGTTAAAGCCTGCTTTGATTCCACTAATCTGGATGGAAGCTTATGGCTAGCACTTTCAAAATTGTGTTATATGCATCCTGGATTTACCAGTCTCCTGGGAGCATCAGTGGACATTCACTCACTGGGAAATTCTGTTGTTCCAACAGCTAAAAGCATAGAAGCCAAATAGGTATTCTGATTTCACAATCATCAGGAACATTGTGCTTGTTAATGTCTGCCTTGAGAGAAAAAAGACAGTCCAGGTTCTTGTAAAGATCCTGTGTGTGCAAATAAGGTAGTTCTAGCTAACCTAAAAAGTAGATGCAGAAAGAGATCCATAGTTGGATTATCCATTCTTCATTATTTCTGAGAAGAAAAATTGCACACATTAGAGGTTAGAGGTTCTGAACAAAGGAAGCTGCCTTCTATGTTGTCAGAGCATTGGTGCACACAAGCTCTTCCTCAATCTGCCAGCCAAGAGTCTTTAAAACAGAGATACAAGGATTAAACCCGGAAGCTTCTGCATGCAAACAATGTGCTCTACCGTAAACTTGTGTTCCGTGCCTGCCACGGATATATTCTGACTGGTAAGTGATGGTAGAGAATGGACACAACCGTAACCTCATGTCTCTTCTTCCCTGTATGTTGTCCCGGCTGAAGCCATTAGAGTGGCTTGAATATAGCTTTATTCCACTTGTGCGTGTTATGACTCACAACTGGGACTATATGATATTAGGACTTTGCTATGTTACTGGAATGCACTTACAGAGCTTATGCCAATTGACAATTGATTTAAAGTTCATTGTTGTTAAAATTAGGATCCTACTTGGCAGTTAGTTCATCTGCTCTTCATCTTAAAAAACTATAAAATTCTGTAATGATAGGACCTGGCTAATTGGTCACTAGGGAAACAGCCACTGTCTTTAACTGTACCTGGGATTACTTATGTGAGCTACAGGAAATGGTGAGACAATGATCACAGCAGCTACTGGTTATCAGAAAGGTGAAATACTACTGTCTCCATCAGTTCAAGCCTTGGATATTTATTTCATGCAAAGTGAGAGCCTGCCAAACTCTATTAGTTTCCCATGGCCTAGTTCAAGCCTTACTCTCTTCCCAAAGCTGTAGTATTTCCTTCTCCACTTCCATAAAACTACATGCTGATTTCACATCCATCACCCCACTACTTGCTGTGAAAAGTTCCAAATGATAAAACAATCATTTCAAAATTCCTTCACTTGTACATGCTGGCTGAGAAATGAAAATAGAACAAGCAACATTTTGTGTCATTTTTCTCTGCAGCCACACTGCCAAGATAAACGTCTGGACTGTACAGTATGCTGGACTATCAACCATAATTCATTATGGCTCATCAAATCAGATATAGTTATATACTCAAGTGGAATTAAAATTCCTAATCTTAAAGGCCTAAGAACTAAAATTATACCTTTCCTTATTAACATTCAGTTAAAAACAGCAATGGTATGTATATGTCACTTACTAATAAGCAGCTGAGGGCAACAGTAAGGACTTGACTTACTCCTAAACAGCAAAAGTCAATAGCAATGAAGAGCTCCTAGTTTAAAATTATTATGCCATGTACTATTTTGGCATACTTCTGACACCTCTAATAT